GTTAACATACTGAAAGGCGCATGCGATTAAATCGCGTGTTACGCACAAGAGTCACAGAAGCAAACTCGGAAATCCAATCAGCTCTATCGGCACAGCCAGCAACAAAGAGGCTGTGGGCGTAACGCCCGAAAATTAGGTAAATTACCGCATGTGTCGGTTACCGGCTGCGGGCACACACCGTCTACACCAGTTTTAGCCCAAATTCTCGCACCCTCATACTCTACTTTTATTTTTTACCCGCTGCTCGGTGTGTGCCAAAAACAATGCCGACCAAACCGCGACAGGCTGCAAATTTAGACGGCGCCGACAACCCGATGTAGGCGGACACGTCAGGGGCGGGCATCTGAGTTATGTTGCCCATTTTGGCCCAGAGCAAACAAATATCGCGGGCGTGGCATTAAAATTTCGATTATCCAAAGCAAAATGGCAGCACAATTTAATGACTGATTTGTGTATTGTTTGCCATGCAGTCAGTTCAAAAAGAAAAGCTTTACATTTGCGCACACTTCGTGCTCGCTTTGCTAAGAAAAGAAACAACAAACAAGTGAGCAAAAAATGTCGGCATCAAGTTTACTTTTCATTTCGGGGCTGCCATGTTTATATATATATAATATGCTGCCGGCTATAAACTTAATTTGCTGATTACAAAGTAACCTCATCGTCATAATTTATGGACCTAGGTGATAAGGGGCAAATGGGCGCCGTCGCTTGACCAGCTCTGAACACTCTCGCAATCCCCTACAACAATTGTAGAAGATGTGTACAGAATAATTAAAGGCCAACTGTGGAAATGTATTAAAGACAATATTCAATCTCTACGTAATGAGAAGTAAATCTGTAATATATGTGCACCAAACTATTATCAAACCAGTTTTTTTTTTGTCATATACCCTTGCCTGACAAACGTGGCTACGTAATCAATACGCCCAGCACTTACGCTTACCTACACCCACACCAATAAAAAAAAAAAATCACAAAAACAAAAGAAAAAAAAGCTGACAAATAACTGACACGACTCAAAAATACTCTGTTGTCGAACAAAATTGTAATTTTATTACTACTGGTAAAGAAAAGCCGTCTTAGCCCCAAATAATTGAATTTACAGGAATACTTATATGTTAGAGATTTCAAGAAACCACTAAAAACAAGTTGAAGCTTTAGTAACTAAATAAGTCTACTGATATTTCGTAGGACTTCGTAGGATCTAACTTTGATACTCCCAAAGCACCATATATGTCTGCATTAAATATCTCAACAATACCATGATATCCTCTTATAGAAATTAAGGATGTGAGAGGTATAGAAAATGAGCAAGCCACAATGAGGAACCCCTACACAAGGAGCTCTGCGCCACTTCCTTTAGCTTGGGGGCATGTGGCGGCAAAGGACAACAGAGACAACTAATTACCCCGAAACGGGTCGTCTGTTTAGTTATTGTGAAGTCATGAGCGCATTTCACACACATGGGTCAACAAGAAAAAAAAAAAAGTGACCATACGGCACACATGGATGGATGCTATGCATTTTAAACTACCAAATTAGCAAGGCGACCAAATATGATATACGAGAATGAGTGTATATGGAATATTTGTGCATGTGTGTGTCTGTGAATTTTAGTTTGTGCGTCTGTATGAATGTAATTTAACGCGCTTTCACGACACTATATATATGCCTTGCTTTAACACCCGCTCCATTACAGTTTTCAATTAAAAAAAGCCAAAGCAATTTTAAAAAAGCGCACGCGCCATTTGTATTCCTGTGCTTTTAAACAGGGTATATGAACTGTTGGGCAATCTTGACCAAGTTGGATACACAATACTGTATTTAGTCTGGGAAAATATGTAATTGACCAAAGTCAATAAATGATTGATTCCTAATGAACTTTTAAGAACGTTATTATTTGTTTTTACTTTAGCTAATGTTTTAAAACATATTTAAATTGGGCTAAACACCGTATTTTATACTTATTTTAATTTTATGTTTTTTAGATAAATAAATAAATAAATATTAAAAAAATACATCAGAAAATTGAAATGGAAATATTTTAAAATTATTTAATATGCTCGTCAGTATTTGATTATTTATGTGGAACACTTCGTTAAGTGTATGTCGGTTTCGATGCTTTGATATTAGTTTTAGCTCTGTGCTTTGCCATTTATTTATTTACGCTAGATCCCAGGCGACCGTTGGCTTCACCTGAACCTGCCCATAACCCCAGCTGGCGGTGCTTTTTTTTTTATTTAAGATAAAAACGTAGCACTCGCCAACAGCGACAACAGCAACAATAACAAACTGAACAGCAACAACTGCCACTAAACTGCTAAAAAATGCAAGCACAAATATTTGTTTCTTGCTATGTTTGTTTGCTTGTTTGTAAAACTAATGAAATTTTTGCAATATTAGCCAACCGGCTGCTGACCCGCAAAAGACAGCAAGAAACCAAAAAGAAAACTTGACCCCGCAATGGCAACAAAAGCAAAAATTAAAAGAAAATACAACAAAAGGCGGCGAAAAATTAACGCCACCTTTGAAAACAAAAAAAAAAATGTATAAAAATATGTATGTAAACGTGGCCAGAAAAAGCAGAAGCCAAAAGACAAAGCCAGCGGCCGCACTCGCAGCGCCAGTCAGAGATTATTATGTCAAGTCACGTTTATGAGCGTAATTTCGACAAGGCACCCGGCTACCAGAGCAGCTGTAGCTGTCTCTATGTATGTATGTATGTACGCCTGTATTTATGTGTAGAACACCAAACTTTCCCCCAGGACCCACGTAACTGTGTCCGGATGCTGCTTGTTAGGACGACATTGCAGCAGTTAAGTCACAGCCCGCGGCCAGTCAATAAACCGTTAAAAAACAACTTGAAAGACAGTAAGGAAATCTATATTTGGGCAGGCTTTGCTAATCTACTGCAAAGTACAGGGCATTAACTTAATGCCTTTAGTATGTATATACATATCCAACGAAATCTGGCGAATTTAACAATACTCCCAAATTATTGCCATATTTGAAAGGTAACTAGTAACTAGAAAAAAAGCTAAGCGAAATATGGCTTGAAGGTTCTTTTGTACAATAGCTTCAATTCCGACCTATGCTATATAACTCATATATTATTTAAGGCGCATAGTGAAAAAATATCATACCAAAACTTAATTTTTCCCCGATCATAGTTGAAAATAGAAGTGGAATCTATGAACGTATCGTATAGAGTGTGTGTCTTTGTGGGATAGGAGAGAGAAATTCTTGCTTATATGCTTCTATTTCAATTCTCTCTCTTCCCCAATATTTTAATTATTACAATTTTCTAATTTATGCTCATATTTGAATATTTAATTATTAAATAAATTTCGTAATCTCATCAATTGATTTTATTGTCGAATGGCGCCAACGCTGCTACATTAACTTTTCGCACTAGTACCTCATATTTAGTAATCTCTCTCAGAGGCAAGTTCTCGTACCGGATGATGCAAGCCTTTTGCGCAAGATACAGGGTGCCAATAAAAATACCGCCATCAGTTCTGGCGCGGCAGACGTAGACCCGTTCATTCAAGGCACTTGTGCCCACAGAAACAGCATTCTTTTCCCTGAAGCCATCGTAGCTGCGCACCCATTGATAGCTGACGGTCTCATTGGCGACCAGCAACTCGTAGGAGGTCGCCTGATTAGCTACTGCTTCGGTGTTAAAAGTGGTGTATCCAGTCTCCGCCCTAACACGGGCTGGCAGAATCGAGCTTGAATAAACGATGCGTCCCACGTAGTTATTATATCCGTATGGATCAATACCGCCCAGTACAGCGTTTTCGGGGAAATTTGCGGTCTTGTCAGAAAGTACCCAGTTATCCGTATTGTCGTATACTCCACAATGAATTGAACCCAACAGCTGGGCAAAAATCAGCGCACAAGCAATAAGTTTCGTAGGAGAATACATTGTTTTAAGTGTCCGGCAAGCGATCAAAGACTGTTGTGAAGATTGTAGCTGAGGTTGGGACTTATATATGCTGTTTATTCGTGCGGCAGGGAATCACTTGCTGATAAACACAAATGTTATAAATCTTTGGAAAAGTTGGGGTTAACTTTTTGGCTAATTATTGATTAGATATGACAAAAAAACTGTTTGAAAAGTTTTCATTACTGATTAATCGTTTGTTGAAAACGTCAGCCAATAATAAACAATGATAACTATTATTAACGCTGGTATGATTTTTACAGCTGTTAAGAGAAGAATAATTTAAGACCCCAGGAAAAGATAACAAACGTCAATCATAGGAGCTAAGAAGCTGGGGAATGCTTTGGTGATAATTTGACCATGGCTATGCTTAACAGAGTAGCTAGCAATTTGAGAAAATTAGTTGCTTTGCCCACTATTGCCATCAAGCGGTGAGTGGGGGAACTAAACATTGGAATTGAACTGCTTCAAAAAAATTTGTGTTCCATGTTTTCCTATAATCGAAGGCAAGTACCGTGCAATGTTTTTATGTTCAATGTTCTATATTCCATGCTACATGGCCTATGTTCTATGTGGTATATTCTCCATTTTCTATATTTTTTCATGTTCTATGTTCTACGTTCTACCATGTTCTATGTTCTACATTATACGATGTTCTATGTTATACGTTTTACCATGTTCTATGTTATTATTTCGATGTTTCATTCCATATAGCTTCGACTCATTCAGCTAGTCCTTGCACTGCTTTCACTTTGCACTGCTTGAATGTGCTTTAAGCTTGCAGCTTACATATTCTTAGAATAGCTTTTACAAAGCTTTGAGTTACAATTTTCGAACCCTTATTTAAAATATATATAACGACATACAGCAAATACAAAATCTGCCCCAGAGAATAGAGTAAAAGAACAAAAGACATTGCCAGCAAATGCTTTGCATATGTCAAGCCAAGTCCAGAGCTCTACAGTATGCACCAGACCATAAACGGCATGCAATAAACAAAAATAAAATACATTGCATATATAAGAATGTCAAATGGCTTTTTTTATTGAATATTCTAATAAAGTCGCCTCAACGAATAGTGCGAGCAGCAAAAGCGAGGTAGATCGAACAGACCAAAATAGCAAAGCTCAAGGAGACTAATTATTGAACAGCCTAGACAAAGCTGACAAATAGCGCCGAAGGAAACTGAAAGGAAAATCACAAGAATTTTAAAAGATACGATTTGAAATTGGTTTCTTACAAATTACACAATCTTCTTAGGTTTCTTAGACATATCTCATCTTGAGGGAGTCTGAAATGTAACTTCAGAAATAATATATTGAACGTAAATAATATCACCGTATTATGGTAAAAACGGTGAGATCTTAAAGTTTATGTAAATGTAAGGACTTGAACAACAAAGAATATCAAGAGTGTGCCTGGTCCCCTGCCAAATGCTTCAAACTTAAAACTTCCTACAAAACCATGTCTGCTATGCTAACAATCCCAAAAAGTGCCACGGCTTAACCTTGGGTAATCTAACCTTACTAGATATTCAGAGGAAGTATACAAATTGTGGTATTATTTTCACCTCTTGAAAATCTATGAAATGTGTAAACAAAACTATTTAAAACTTTTCCCCTAAGGAATAATTTGATAATAAAGTCCACATACCAATCAAGTCCAGCCAGCTATATATTAGGCTCGTCCTATAGACCAGAATAACATTTTTGGTGTAGTAGACATTGAGCAAAATTGAACGGTTACTTCCGTGGGCGGAACCCTTAGCACGGGCATTTTCCAAATGCCTACGTCGAGCGGCTTTATGAACATCGGTTAAGAGCGTCAGCGACTTGCAGTTGTGTAGGCAATCGCAAAGAAGTCCCGATTCATTCTGGGCCACATATGAACGCTCCTCGTGATGTTCGAAATTCTTTAGCAGATGATTGTGTGCCGCCAAGCAGGGCAGATCCTTCAACTTGCAGCCGACATGATTGGAGGGCGGAAAGAATAGATCTAATGTGCAATTGCAATAGCGCAGCATATAAAGCTGCTGACATTCGGCCAAGCAGTTTTCTAACATATACTTGAAGCCCAGTAGAGTCTGGAAGTGATCGCTCTTCTGCTCATAGTCCAGCAGGCACTGACGCTGTACGCTCGGCAGGCCGTAGGTGGCCTCATCGTAGAAATGATAGACAGCCCTGATGCCAACGTTAGTGTCTGCATCAGGCACCAAGCTTATAGGCAGTTCAGACCAAACACCTGGCTCCACAACGTCCAGCTATTCGATTGAAGGATCCACAGATACACACGCTATCAGGAAGGCAATTACGTACTTATACGCACCACAAAACCCTTGGGCTCCCGATTACCAGGCGCATGTAGGGCCTCATTTAGCAGTAGGCGAACAACAATACCAGTACCACTGCCCGTCTCGGCACTGGAACGTTCCTCCAACTCGTGGAAGGCAAGGCAAACACCCTGCTGCTGACGTCGTGGCCGAAAGAGTTCACAGCAATTGCGCGACTGCGTCTGCCAGCGGCATTCGCTGATCAGTTCCTCGCAGCGCCAGGCCATCTCGCTCACAATCTGAGTAAAATTTAGATGATTGAGCGTTTCCAAAGGCTGGTCTTGCAGCGCCTCAAAGACATCCAAATGTGAAATGCTAAGTGCATCATAGGCGGTCAGCACACGCTCCAGCAGAGGCTGTTGGCTCTCGGTGATGTTGTAGCGCTCGCCTATCTCGGGCAGACGTGACCAGTTCAAGCGGTTCTTATTGCACACGAAGATGACCGGAAATGCAATATTCCGAATGGGCCAACGCGAGTCCGCGATCACTGTTTGGAAAAGTTTTCGCTGATGTCGCTCTGCCAGCAAATAGGTGATAAAGATGAGCACTATTAAGGCACAAAGTAGCGCCAGCGTCCACAGTAAACTGTTTATGTTATGGGAACAGATCAGTAGATCGGATCAATAATAGTGCTATCTCATTTCGCTCACCGCATGCGACGTCGCATCGTGGGCCAAAAAAGCTGATAGAATCCATGGATATGCGAACCACTGGTGTAGCGGCTGAGCAAGTGCATCCAGGCGGTCTCACAGTTCGAGTTCTGGTACTGCTGCCATGCTCCGGCCAGCTGTCGATGCCGTTTCACTTTTCTCAGTTGCCGGATATGCATTTTGTGTTCGCCAAATGAGTAGGTCACGCCATTTATATCGTGCCGCTCGGATTCGGAACAGTATGCCCTCGTAAGTAAGGGTCTATTATGAAGGTTATGCCGTTTGGATTGTCAGCTTGACGTGTACTGAAAGTTGTCAAATTTGCAACAGGGAACGGGGAATTTTGAAAGGCCATTCTTTTCGATTAAAATATATGGTCAAACAAAAAAGGTTGACACGTTTAACACAACTTTACTTTTACACCGTAAAACTAATGTTTGTTTGTCTCCACCTTAGTTATAAGTAGTAAAGGGAATACTCGTTGAATGTTTTTCTAAAAGAGCATGCGTAAATGCGACTTGTTGAGATTAATAAATTTCCCGCTTATCGCTGTTTGCAAATCATTTGGCATTGATTGTATTCAATTGGCTTGACAAACAGTTTGTCCAATTAGCTTGACATATATATGGACGGATATAGGGTACAAATCAAGTCCCCTGGGCGGGTGGCAAACGCTTTGTCATCGATTGTGTCTGACGACTTGACCTATGCGGCAAGTTGTCGACAACGAGTTTAATAGGCGTTAAACACGTTAGTGTCCCGGCTATTGCTAAGTATCTAATTAGCCAAAACATTCCGGCACGCAGTTGCGCTATAAAAGCACCAAAATGGGTTTGCAACTGATTCAGTTGCTCGCCAGCCATGACGCTTGCATATTATCCACCGACGCGTTCCCTGCATTTGCATCAGTCGCGAACATTACCGCGCCGCTATGCAGCGCTCCGTCAACTGGGTCAGGCTGCCTGGCAGCTGGCCATGCGCTTTGGCAAGCGGACAACGATCCATGGTCTGGACAAGCTGCTTGCCGCACGTTCCAGTAGCTGGGAGCGCTTCATCTGGCTGTGCACATTTGTTTGTGCATTTTTAGGAGCTGTCTATGTGTGCCTTATACTGTCACAGCGCTACAACGATGGCAAATTTCAGACTGTGGTCGATAGCACGCGTTTTCCGGTTTACCGCATTGCATTTCCGGTCATCACCATATGCAATCACAATCGCCTCAACTGGCAGCGTTTGGATTTGGCTAAAGCCCGTTTTATGGCCAATGTGAGCGATGCCGCGCAACTAAAGTTGTTTGAGCGTATTATCAGCAGCTACGATAGCATGTCCTTTGCCCACTTTGAGAGCTTTGAGCAGCTGCGTAACGAGCCAACAGAGCAGCTGAGCCATATTAACTTTAGTCTGGTCGTCGACTTTATGACCTGGACCTGTGATGAAATGTTGACCGATTGCAAGTGGCGACAATTCCCTCAGAATTGCTGTGAGATCTTCTCAAAACGGCGCAGTAAGAACGGCTTGTGCTGGGCCTTCAATTCTCTGGAAACCGTTGAAGGGAAACGCATGCAGCTGCTGGATCCATTATGGCCCTGGCGCACCGGCTCTGCAGGTCCTATGAGCGGCCTTTTTGTGCGTGTGCTCATGCAACCGGATAAACACTGGCCGGAACGACGCAACGAAAAGGGTATCGATGTCATGGTCACTGAACCGTATGTCTGGCACAAGGATCCATTTCACATACCCGCCGATACGCAAACTACCCTCGAGATCGAACCCACAATTTACTTCTACGATAACGATACACGTTCCGTGAGCTCCGATCAGCGTGAATGTGTATTTGATGTTAGTTTTCTATGTTTTACGATTGCAATATCGTTTTAAGGGTAGCTGCTAGTCGATCACTTTCGGCCAGAGGACAACAACATTTTGTCAATTTGTAGTATTATTTCCTTTAAGTTGTAATCTATTATATCTACTTGATATATGTTAGCATTTAAAGATTTACTTTCAATATTCCCATTCAAAAGTTACTAGAAATTGAAAACATTTCAGACTTAAGCTTTTCACTTCCACTATCCAATCTGCCTGCAGGACGAGCGCAATAGCCGCGACTTCAAGTCATTGCTGGGCTACATTTACATGATTGAGAATTGCCAATCGGAGTGCCATCAGGAGTACTTGGTGCGCTACTGTAATTGTACAATGGATCTGCTTTTTCCGCCGGGTAAGCACGTACAGCTTAACCGCAAAACCGACTTGAAATTTTACTCCACTTGCAGGCCAGTATCGCTCGTGCCGCGCTCCGGACTTGGACTGCCTGGCGAAAAACAATGGTGCGTAACAAACATGACAGACTATTTCTGTGGCGAGGGCCACTTCTAAACGCTTGCGTCACACACACACAGATAGATTGCTCTATTCGTATCAGCCGGGAGAGGAACGTTTTGTGCGCAACAATTATGTGGGCATGGTCTGCAAATGCTTTCGCAACTGTTACTCGCTCAACTACATCAACGATGTGCGTCCATCTTTTCTGCCGCCGGAAGTGCTTGGCAATTCATCATATGTGGATCTGGATGTGCATTTCCGCTTTGAGACCATGATGGTCTATCGCACCAGTTTGGTATTTGGCTGGGTCGACTTAATGGGTTAGTAAATGACAATGGACACAATGCAAGCACACTCGAAAGCCACTCGCACAATGATCCACTTCATATTACTCTTGCAATTTCAATCTTTGGCTAACTGTTAAATTAAAACGTGCTTCCAAATTTTTCATTTCATTCATAATTTGGCTTAATGTTAGTCCTTTCTTTACTATAACTATTAAAGAAAGTTTATTATTGCTTAAATACTTTTTAATCAAATTTGATTTGCATTTAACTTTCTAACATTGACCTTGCCTCTGGTTTATTTCATTCTCTTTTAGTTAGTTTCGGTGGCATTGCTGGACTTTTTTTGGGCTGTTCGCTCATTAGCGGCATGGAGTTGGCCTATTTTCTGTGCATCGAAGTGCCCGCGTTTGGCATGAGGGAGCTGCGTCAGCGTTTGCGCGCCAGGCGTGGCATAGACACGGTGGCTGCCACGCCCACACTGAATCTGCGTCAGAATGTGCCCAGTCAGCTGGAGCAATACATAATGCAGCTAAAGGTGGAACAGGCGCCACAGAAGGCAACAGCTCAATTTCAGAAGTGGCAACGCCAAACGTTTGCCCATAAACATGTTATTAGCAAATGAATAATGTGCACAAATAAAATATATATTTGCGCTTAACTGGTGCGAGTTCGACCCTCCCCGATCTGCCCAAGTGGCTGCCAGCAGCCGCAGCTGGCAAGCCAACTAAACAAATTGTGCTCATTTTTCAGGCTCGCAGTGTGCCTCCACAGATACGACAGCCCCGGGACGACCTGGCCGACTGTCTTGCCGTCGCCCGGAGCGGGCCGGGGGTTAAGGTTGAGGTTGCTTTCGGTGTCGGTGCCGGGAGTTCCTAGTAGCCGCACGTTGACAGCTTCATTGCCAGACATTGTTAATCAAAATTGAGGTTAAGTCGTGCTCCCAAGCGGTGCGCCTGGCCAACTTTTGCAGTTTATTGAGACATTTACTTGACTTTCTGAGAGCCGAGCCGGGGCCCCAGAACCCCTTTGCAATTAAGCATAGTTTGTTTGTTTGCGGCTGTTGTTGTTGTTGTTGTCTGCGGCAGTTGCGGTAGGTCAGGCAGTCATGAGGGCTAGTCCATGGGGTACTTGCGACAACGCTTCGCTTTAATTTCACATTATTTAGTTTTCTATATGTCAACGGGGCGTAATTTTATTTATACTGCCAATGCAACCACGCGCACTTTAAATACATACACCACATGAATTGTGAATTGTGCGCCCAAAAAGGCACAGCACGCAATCATTTTTCATTTGAATGTCGCGACAGCATTATAATACGCTATGCAGGAGTTTTTTACATGAGTGTGGGAAAGAAGTGAACTGTTTGATGCATATTTACGATACTTCGAGCTACAGAAAAACGTGAATATTCAAATGTTTGGTAAGGATTGCAACAGATACGCTGTAAAGACAGATGACATGGGACTAGGCAAATATGCAAGCAAATATACTTTGATTTAGTTATAAACTTAATAAGCACAATCTTTCAAATCTTTGAATAATAATAGTAAATGCAATTATTCGTAAATTAATTATATGCAAATAATAATAAATAGTACATGTGATTATTCTGAATTCAATTAAAATAATTTTAAATACTTGATCTTTTGTGTAATACGCTTAATTTAGATGAAATCTGTATTAAATCTATCTTCATAAATAAATGTCGAATATTATATTTTGTGTTTCTTTTTTTACAAATGTTATAAACTGAAATGCTCAAACTTTATAGGGTACTCGTAAATATTGCACATACGCCCTGTAATGTGTGTGTGCCTCCATACCCAATAACAAGTCACATAATTTTCGTTGTGCGATCAAGCAAAAAAAATGAAAATGTTTAAAAAAAATGTAACCACATCAGACCTATTGAAATTCAATGTCTGTGAAAATAACTGTAATTGATTACCAAATTAGTTGCGCACGAGCAGTCAAAAATCAAACAAGAAAAATATGGCCAACAACTCTTGAATATGTACTATAAAATATTATCACATTTGATTTATGTCATCGAAGCGAAATTTACTCAATGACAACAAAGGAAAATACTGAAGTCAGCTGCCAGCCAGGCAAGCCAAGAGTCTCCCCATCAGCCAGCCAGTTAGTCAGTTGGCGAGGTAAGTCGAAGTTGTTAAAATATTTGCGCTGTCAGTCGTTATTTGGCATAGTTACGTTTAACTTGTCAAATTGTGTTGGCTGCAATTGAGGGGAATGCAACGCGGCGGCAGCAGGACACGAAGCTAAAGAACAAATTTCGCCTGAGGCCGCCTAATAAATGTCAAAAGCGAATTCAAGTTGGCTTCACGCCAACGGCGGCTGTCAAAGTGGCAAGCGTTTAACATATTCATGACATAATCTGACAGAAAGGCAACATATGTGCCACAAAGCATGACGGAGATGTTAACTGCAGTAGAACTTCTGACAGTTTGCCCATGACGGATGAGTCTTAATTTGATAAAAATGTGCGCTAATGTTTTGCAATTAAAGTAATTAAAATATGAAACATGTTACATGCGAATATGACA